GCAGATTGGACACAAGTCCTCACAGAGAAGAAATTAAAGCAGAGCACAGCTGTGCAAGTTGCCCCAAGATAAGCACTAAGGGGGCTGGAATTCAGGTCCCACCACCCTCAGTCAGGGCTCCTATCTACTGGGTGGCAAAGAGTCAGGCACACGTGGGCACTTGCTTGGGCAGAAACCAAGTGGTGGCTTCACCAGACTGTGGTTCTGATGGAGTTGGTGTCTGGTGCAATACTTTTAATTCAACTGTTACCTCTGCTTATAATCAATAAAATTTTCCCTTTTTGACAATATTATGCGACAAAATTCTGATGTCTATTTCAGATTTAAAAAGTGTAATGATGTTATCAAATATTATTACTGTATAACATTTAAAACAACACAAAATGCAAGCATGGCTTTCAGATTTCTCACAAAACATATTTTCCCCCAGATTAAAATTTTTTATTCATTTCATTTGTATATCTTTATGGGTAAATCATGGCAATTCAATATAGGTGTACAAGTTTTATCATGTAAATTTGATGTTACTTCCAGGAAGTCCCTGTAGTGTAACCCGCCTTTAGTTTGTTTTTTTTTTTTTTTTTTTTTTTGGTGATGAATGACTTTTCATAGAATTCATACTGTGACACAGTCTGAGAGACTGTCCCTGTGTGCCCTTCAAGAATGGGGACATTCTAGCATTTCAAGCAGGCATTGATTTAGGATAGATAAGGCTGGACACCTGAGGAATTTGGAGGAAGCAGATTTATTTAAGCTGCAGCAATCCAGAAGGGCTAAAGCCAAACAATCTCTGGACCCCAGGTCTGGAAATTCTCAGAGAATTCAGTTGGTGGTTGTACAATACAATGGTTAACATAACAGTTACATTTTGTTCCACGTTCTTTGGTTGGAAAGAGGTTTCAAAAATTTTTACTATGGAAACAGATCTTTTGCACATCAACACACATGATTGGAGACCTTTTTTTTAAAAAAATTGTAGATGAGAATAATACATGTAATTTTTTTCTGTTTTTTGGTGGTGCCAAGAATCAAACCTCAGGTCTCACATATGCTAGGCAAGTGCTCTGTCACTGACCACAACCCCAGCCCTGCAGGCCTTTACAAGAAACCCGGCCTTCACAACAAAGAGGAGTGCAAAGCACAATAAGTTCTCTAGAAATCCTGCTCACTTCTTAAACAATTATCTCCTTGACTAGGAGAGAGGCTTATATCTTACAATGAAGATGGGGGTCTTCTGTGGGGTACATCATTACCCCCTTTGATGCTCACTATTTAATCCTCTAAGTCAAAAAGCATTATTATCTTCTTGGATTTAAGCTTTATAAAATGTCACATCATATTTTTTTTAACAGCTGCTTCTATAGTAGACCCACTAGTTGTAATGTAAAGAGGAAGCAAACATGGAAGCAATGAACAAGTTCATAGCATAATCCCTGCTATGTCAATTAAGATTTGAATCCATCAAGAACAGGAAACCATCCACCAACTAGTGAGCTTGGATGCCAACCGTAATACCCTTTCAGGTTTGAACTGGTACATGTGGTAGTTTTCTGATAGTGTTAACTATGTGTTTGATTGTTATCAGTCCTAGAGTCAAGACAAAAGAAAGGACTGTGTATATGAAAGAGGTAAGTGGTGGCAATGAGAGTATAAGAGCTGTCTTAGAGGGAGAAACAGTCCATTTTCCTGTTGGTGAGTTTATCTTACACCTTGTGTGGATCATCCAGCCCACAGTGGCTGAAGCAGGGCTGATGTTTCCTCTAGCTTTGGGCACATGCAGGCTAGTCATCTTCCAGAGTGACTTGAGAAGGGTTGGTGTCCTTCTGATCCTTGAGCTTGTCAGGTGTTTCCTTCTTCCTGATGCTCAGCTTAAAGGGTGCAAATTAAGGAGAGAAAGCTGCAAAAGAATGTACGTAAGAATAAGAGATTTTATTTTCAAGAAATTCCAAAAGGAACAAAATATTACATAATGTATATTTCTGCATGTGTACATACATGTATTGACATATTTGGTGACACTCTAAAGAAGAGTAAGGGATTGTGGACAGTGCTCAGAGTGGGGCTGTGACAGAGGTGGGGGATATCCCAGGAGGCCTGAACTATGTAGATTTATCTCAATGTAACTTTAAACAAATTTGAAAACAACCTATAATTTCAGAAGCCTGACCCAACATTGGCTTATGATCTTCCATATATTATTATTTCATCTAAAAAATAAAAAATAAATTTTAACCCCCTGTCTCAAAGGTCAATTGCACTTCAAAGTGGGTTAACTTTAAGCTCAGAATATATTTCTGCATGGAAATTATGTCATATGCCTACTTGGATCCCAAAGTTTAGGCAGTGCTCAGCAGCTTAATTTACCCTTGGCTTATCCTCCTCACCATCTTTACTTTACCAGATGCAAACCCAAGGTTGTATCCAGCTCTACCCATTCTGAAGTCCTTACCCCTCCTCACAATACCCCTTAGCCAGACAAAACTTGCTAACTTATATTTTTTCTTTCTTGATAATCTCTTGGAAGAAGCCAGAGTTAGGCTAAATTTGGTAGATCTAGGAGGGTATTTTCCAAATGGGTTGTTTTTCTCCAAGTTCAGGTATGGCCAGTCTGGCTGTCCCCAGCCTGCTGCAATGTGCTCAGGCCTCACACCACTGCCCAGAGACCCAGTGCCCATATGGCCCCATGTCCAGGACACAGAGTCCCCTCAGGGAGGAGTGGGGGATAGGGGGAGAAGACGTGGTGGGAAGTTTAGGAGAAAGGACCAGAAGGTGCTTCCAGGGCTGGACTCCCAGAGCATCCAGAGATCCCTCTCCAGCTTGCCCTAAAGGATCAGGTCCAGACCTGGTCAGCAGCTCCCAGGCTCTGACCCTGCTCTCTCAGCAGTGAGCTGGACCCACCTAGACCCACCCACTGCCTGCTGTGAGGACCTCAGCCTTTATTTAATGTGCTCACTAGTTTATTTGGATGAGTTCCCTGAGTTAGAGCCATAACTCCTCAAGGGTCCTGAGGAGTGGTGGTTGGTCCGGGGGCGGGGGGGGGGGGTGGCGATAGGCAGGCAGCATGGTGAGGTGACTGTGATGGAGAATGCCCAGTTTCCTAGCTCTTGTATATCTTGAGCAGACCAGAAGCCTTGGAGTCAATTCACTCCAATGGCACCATCATGAAATGGGGCATCTTGTGGCCATAGCAGCATCCAGCCACTTTTAGCATAGGGCATCAGGCATCAAAAGTCAGGACTGCAGTATTGGAATGGGGTGTGGGTGTCTGTGGATGTGTCAGCATGCAGCTGTGTACCTTGCTTCCTACTCATGCTGGCGGTGACTGTGGAAGGATCCAGAAAGAGTGGTTGTGACAACAGAGGCATCCAGTCCTGAGGGTTGTCATCCTGCCATAGTGACAAGAGTCTGGCTGCAGTTGCAATAAAGTTGGCATCCAGTACTGAGCATCACTGTCTGGTGTCCATGTTAAAGTCTGGTGACAGCAGGGTGGAGCTTCAAAGTCTGGCAGGGGTGAGAGCAACATGCACCTGCATCAGGGGTCCTCAGTATAGGGGTCGGATATCAGGCTTGGGGTGAAGTGCAGTGACGTTGGGTCCTTGGTGGGCAGCATCAGAATCCAGCTGGAGTTTGAAAGTTCAATTGCTGCATGATGGTGGTGGCACCAGAAGAGCCCAGAAGCAGGGGCAGCAACAACAGGCAGTGTCCAGCAGTGAGCATCTCATTCCTGCAGCAGTAATTGGGGTCCGGCTGCAGGGTGGTGAATGTGGCATCCAGTGGCCATGTGGGGAATCTGGGTGGCTACAGCAAAGAGCTCCAGGCTGGCAGTGGTCGTGAGGGCATGGGATAGTGGGCATCAGAGTGAGAAGGTGACCAGTAGCTAAGATGGCCTCTGGAAGCTCCAGGCCCTGGTCTTTCTCCTGGTGGACTTGGCCTGCTCAGGAAGAAGCATATGGGAGACCACAGTACCCAGGCAGCAATCCAGGAACTTATCTGCCCTCAGCTGCCATGCCTCGCTCTGGCCATGAGCCCACTTGGTGCCTCTTCACCTCATGCCCTGGTACAGCTTCTACTGAGGAACTAGGCTGTCTGCCAGATTGAGGTGGCCTTAGGAGAGAACCCCACTGTCCCCAGCCACATCCTGCATGGACTGTGGGGACAGAGATCAGAGGTCCTAGGACATCTTCACCCCCAAAGCACATTTCTGTGGCTAAGGGCAGCAGAAGACCAAGACAGAGGGTCTGCACCCTTAGGCTCCCTCTGCCACCTGTGCCCTCCACTCTTGTCCTGCCCCAGGATGCCCTTGGAGGGTGAGGATTTTCTAGGCCCCCCCCACCTCCCACCTCTGCACTCTGCTGCCACAGCCCAGGGGAGATGTGCCTGGGGAGGGTGGGTGTCCTCTCCAAAGGCTTCCCCAGCTGGAAGATGGCCTACTCACCCCTTAGAGGCTACAACCCTGGGAGGGACTCAAGGATCAGGCGAGCAGCTGCCTGGTGGACTCAAGGCCAATGCCAGGCATGGCTGGCCTGGTCAGTATAAGGACCTCAGCAGCTGTCTGGGTACCACCAGCTCCTATGTCCTGCTTCCTGAGCAGGCAGGTTCTACTAGAAGCAAGACCAGTCACCTGCAGGAGCCACTGCAGAGACCATCACAGCCTCCAGTTGCCCTCTGACTCTGAGGCCCACTGTCCCATGCTGTCACCATCACCGCTACCAGAGCTCCACTGGAGTCCCCACATAGCCACCAGTAATGCTGCAGCCACCACCACTGCATTGGGAACAGACTCCCACCACCACCAGAGGATGAGGATGCTCCTGTCTGGATGCCTGGCTTGCTGCCGCCACCTCCAGACTCCTCAGTTGCCTTTGCCACCGCTGCCATAACTGAACTCCAGAAACTGACATTCCACAGAGGCCCAACACCAAGGCTTCACTGTCCTGGTTCCTGCTTGTGGCTGTCCTCCAAGCCTGAGGCCAAGTCCCCATCCTGCCACTGATACATCTGGACTCCCCAAACTGCCATGGGACTCCTGTTTGACATCCTCCTCACAGATGGATGCTCCTGCTACAGAATCCTGCACTGCTCCGGGTCACTGGGAAACTCCAATGTGGAACCCTGCTGTGGAATGCTAAGGCTGGCCTCTGTAGGCTCCAGTTCTGGATACCAGACTTATTTCAGACCCACTGGACACTTCCACAGGTGCCACCTGCACCCCTAGGCTTGGGAAGGGTCCATCACATGCCCTTCCATGCCTGCTGCCTGTTTATTTCTGTCAAGGGATTAACTCACTGATCTCAAAACTGAATCATCTCATTGATAAACCTTGCATTGGCTCACCTGTGAGCTTCTGGGGACACCTACTACCTAACCCACAAAACATCTTCATCAAATAGGTTAGCAAGACCTCCTTGATGACTTGCAAGAGCTTCTGCATCAGTACTTGCTTCTTTGCCTTGCACTTTTATTTTATGGAGAGGAGCCTCTTGCCAAGAACATCATCAAACAAACTCTGGCAACTTCAAACTTCTTCTGCAGCTTTCTCAATTCTCTTGTCAGTAGAACAATGTAACGTGATGGCCTTATCTGGATTTGGCTTTGGCTGAATGGAACGTGGGTCGTTTCTTCTTTTCTCCACACTATGAAAAGTTTTTTTCCGAATGAGAAATAATGCTGTTATTTCCTTTTTGTCATTTACATATGCCCTGGAGCAGCCCTTTAATTTCCTTCATGAACATTTCCTTTGCATTCTCAGTGTGACAAAGTAGTGCAAGATGCACAGCTTTTTATGTGAAGTGCAAAGCATAAGACTCTTCCTTTTATTTAAATAGTACAAACCATTACTGATTTATTAATGGTTCTACTTCAATAGTGTGTCTTGGAGAATAAGAGGATGGTGAGCCATGATCTGTGGAGCAATAAGAATGCACATATTAAGGTTGTTATCTTATATGAACAGGATTTTTAGTGCCACGTGACAATTAAAATAGTTAATATCACAGATCACAGTATGAGTTATAATGGCCTGAAATCTTCAACACTCATTAGGCAGTCACCTCTGCTCTATACCCAGGGACCTCTATCTCACCTTCTCCAGGATGGCCTGTTTGTGTCCTCTCCCACAGCACCATGAGCTCTACGTGGGCTCCATCAGCAGCTACACACTGCTGATGGTGGCACAGCCTGGTGAATGGATGAGCATTTTTAGGTCAACATAAAAGATTGTCACTAAAAATACTTACAATGCCATCCTAAAAATGAAAGAATTACCATCACACACAAAAAAATAGACAATCTCAGAGGGAAGTGGAAGGAGAGCTGAGCTGGGGGGTCTGGCACTGGGTAATGCTCAGAAGGTCACATGTGGGAGGTGCCATAGAAAACATTAGAACTTTGGGTGGTGAGCGTACATTCCAGGAGAAGTGGAGGGCTGCTGGCCTAATAGTTTCTTGACTTACTGCTTCTGGTGTTTTGGTGCCTGAAATTTAAGTTGCTGCCAGGAAAGGTGGCTCTCTTTCAAAGGATGGGATGGCAGCTCTCTTTCAAAGGATGGGATTTATATATATAAATATATATATATCGTCAAGAGGAGGATAATGTTCAATGTCCACTCACTTGCTTAGTGGCAGCTAAGCTGTCTCCTCTTCCTGAATGTTTACAGAGGCCACTCATGGCTCCATATCTTCCTGTGTGTTCAGTGCTGGTGTAGGGCCAACTTCGGTTTTCAGGGCTATTCCTCCTCCTTCACAGGGAATGTGATAATATGCTCCAAAAATATAAGCAGGTAAATTAGGCCATGGCTACTGGAGGCAATTACATCACTTGGGGTGGTGCTGGACCTGCAGGAGAAAACACCCAACATGACTGGCTTTCCTTGGGCCTTTCCCAATTCACACTAGAACCCTGCCTCTGAGAATAGCCCAGGCCCTCCCCAATAGGACATCTTCCCAGACTAGGTTCCATCAGCTGCAGGATGTCAGGCTTGTGTTTCTCACGACCATATGGCAGATCCCAAGGCCACCAGCAGAGATTCCTCTGCACACACCTTCAGTCATCCACCTCAGGCCCCATCCCCATAATCAGACGGCTCAGACTCACAGGATCTGTGTTCTCCAGCTGGGGAAGGACATGGAAGTTCCCCTCTGATTCAGTCATAATGAGTAACTGGAAGGCCCTGAGATATTTCAGGTTGTCCAAGTCTTCGGACCTCAAAAATATTCTGCATAGAGGCACAGCCACATTTCAATGATGGAGCAGAGGGTGCTATGGAGTGTGGAGTGAGACAGGGAGTCATGAGGGACTGGGTCTCTCCTTTAGGTAGCACCTCCCAAGGCCCCTGCATCATGGGCTTCTCAATGAGTGCCCAAGCAGGCCCATGCACCACATCAAAATGGCAACCTTTGAGGCACATGTGTGGGTAAGGGGCTCCCCACACTTGCTGTCCAGTCTCTGTACAGAAAAGTATGGGCAACCCAGGCTGGAATTGGCTGTGTTGGGATGGGATCCTCACAGAGCCTGGTTCTGAGGCCCCAACCACTCCTCTGCTCCTTGGGTGTCCAGAATCCCATTGCAGCACACTATGTCCTCTCTACAGTATAAGCCCCAGAGTTGAGTCCTCTGATGGAAATCACACAGGGTGGAAATTGGGGTTTACCCAGCTATCTTTTACAACAGCCAATCAATTGGCCCCTCTTAAAACAGGAGCCCTCCCGACTGGCCCAAAGACCACTCACTTCTTTTTTTGTAGCCACTCCTCACAAACATCGGGCTGCAGGTTTCTATACCTAGAGAAGGTGAGGCGGCTGTCACCTCTAACATCCTGTGCCCCTCATCTGCCAAGATGGCTGGTGGGCTTGACTAACTTCCTGACAATCATGGAAGTTCTGGAGGGCTAGGAGGTTTGTCTGCATTGCTTCCTAAATGGTAGGCCAAGTGATGGCCAATAGTGATGTTACATATACATTTGAGCAATGACTGAGCCCAACCACCTAATGCCTAGCTACCTCAGGGCCAGGACCCATTCCTTTCTCCCCAAGGGTCCCTGTTCTGACTACATGCAGGTTGGAATGCTCCCAGATGCAGTCCACAGACTCCTTCCCAAATGTGAAAATTGCTTATCCTGAAGCCTCAGAGTAGTGAGGCCTGAGATAGGGAACTTGCTCACAGAGAGGGGACGTGCCCACAGGGCAAGACCAGAGCTGCAGGCAGCATGTTACACAGAACCAGGCCTGAGGCAGACACTCCTTGGGCTCATCCTACTCGGTTTTCTAAACATCCAGGCAGGGTTCTCCTCTGAAAACACTACTTTCTCCAGAGGGGACGGATTGCCCAGAAATCCCAGGACCAACTAGGACATGGCCATGTGCCAGGGCTTGGAGGTGATTGATACACACCTTTTACTACACAGCAGCTCCAGCACCTTCTGAGGATTAACCAGATTTGGGTAGGAATATAAAAATTCATGGCCATAGGAGGTGTTCCCCTTTGCAGGACAGGAACCAGGCCATTCCTTGGCTCCTGGAGGATGAGTGCTGTGAAGGTTTCCAGTAGACAGGACACATCCATTGATGAATCTTGGTCATCTTCTCCCTAGACTGTGGAATCAAATAGGGACACTACAACATGGAAAAGTAGCCATATGCAAAATGACTCATTGCCATACACTCAGGTTAAATTGAAGGATTTATCTCTGTATTCTTGAGATATCACACACACACACACACACACACACAACACACACATACACACACAAACCTGGTGAGGGTCTCTAGCAATCAAGGGGAAATTGAGATTCTGGTCCCTTGTGGTTGCCTGTCATGTCTCAATTCTGCTCTCCTTGGGAAAAATTGCCAGAGCTCTAAGGACCCAGCAGTGACCCAGAACTCAAGAAAGGCCCCCCTATTCAGGGCTTTTCTGAGGCTTGAGCATCCACAGATCAGGAACTCTTGGCACTGGGCTTGCTGTCTCAACACCAGTGAGCAGACTGGGACTGTATCTGATTGTTGGTGCCTAGCTACTAGGGTTGCAAGGTCTGTATGTTTTGTGACCAAAAAGTGAGGTCACTTCCTTGGGGACTCCTTACCTGAGTTCTATTCCCACATAAGATGGTTCCAAAGGCCCCCTGGGATCTGGGATGCTCCCATATTCTCATGACACAGGCACCAGTGAACACAGTTACACCAACACACCCTGGATCAGGTCCACAGATAAGCCAGGAATAGGCAGCTCCTCTGGTTTGGAACAGAATGTGGTCCAGACCCACGTCCTCCTTTAGGTTATGTGTGTGATCCTGAAGAAGTCATTGTGGCTTGCAAGACCTCCATGGCTCCCTAATGTGTCCATCAAGGATTATTAGACCACCTGCTTTTCAGGTGGTCATCAGGGGAATGAACCCATACATACATGTACTCCCTCAGATACCCTAATGCTAAAGTTATGAGTCTGTAATACACAAATCTACAGATGACACAGCATTGGAATTTGAGGGACAAAAAATGACATGCAACTCTACCATCACCTGAGTCCCACAGTGAGAGAGAGAAAGTCAACTCCTGCCTTGGCCATGGTCCCCTCTCTGCACCAGTGGAATGCTATAGTGGCTGATATTCAGAGATAGTCTCACCTTTGTCAGAGACCTGCCAATGGCTTCATGTGAGATTTAGAATTGTCCCAAGGCCTCTTCCCATTGTATTATGTGGGTTCATTACAGAGGATCCAAAAGACCATAGCATCCTGGTGCCCAAGGCCTGTAGCTCCCTTCCCTCCAAGTGGATCCACATCAGCATCTGGTTTCTAAGAAACAGAAATCAGCCAGGTCATGAAGACAACTTCTAAGTTTGAGTCAAGGGAAGTCTCACTTTTGTCTGGCTCCATAGCCCCACAGCTGGGGCACTGCTGGGATTCTAGAGCTCTGGGAGAAAAGTTTGTGTGGCAGCAACCAGAGAGACCCAGGGATCCCATGAAATGGCAAGGGGATGGTATTTCTGTGCTTCCCTTTCTGAGTGCCTCACAGAAGAGAAAATATGTGGGTTGTAAACTTCACTGACGCACAAAATATATCAAGAACCAACAATGTTGTGAAGTGGCCAAGATTTTGTCCAACAGCATGGTCCTAACCAGAGGAGTGGAGACTCTATCTTCATGACTTTAGGGAAAGGCTACATTGCTTCTTTCAGGGAAGCAGCAAGCCACTACCCTTTGTTTTGTGTGTCATTCAAGACAATTTCCTCCTATTCCTCCAAGTAAAATATTGAAACAAGGCCCCAGAAACATGAACAAAGAAGTATCTCAGGAGGCAATATTGACTCAATAGCTAAGGATACTGGAGCCGAGAGAAGGACAGACAATTCAGTTTTGAGGACTAGACAGGGAACGGGAGACCATTCCCTGCAGGGAACACTCACTAAACTAATCCATGACCACTGAGCACCCTGTGCTCACTCTTGTATAAAACTCAAGGAGCTGACACCTTTCCCCTCTCCTAAGGAACCTCAAGAATTAGCTAACTCTCCCAGGAGACTCAGGATCATATTCCTTGTACACAGGGAGCTAAGTGGCTGCTCATTACTTTCCTACCAGAGGTGACAAGCACATGATGCTAAGTTCTTTTAAACTATACCAAACTTAAAAAATTGTTTATGCTCTCCCCAAAATAGCAGTAGAATCATCACTTCAAAGTACCATAAGAAAAACTGAATGGGAGAAGATTACTTAAGCAAAGAAATGATCAGGATTCAACTTCCAAAAGACCTAAATGCCCTTGCAGCTCCTGGTCCCTTTGCTGTGGCTTCCAATGGACAGCAGACTCCTTATGTGCTCATTTTGCCTTAGTGACACATGACCTAAGAGGAAAGGCTTTCTGTACACAACAGCTGCTTGACCCAAGCATCTGGATATACACAGCTGCAAATGTTGAAAGTAACACTAAATAATGTCTTTCAAGATAAATAGGTTCTCTCATCAACAATACTAAAATGAGATAAAATGCTACTAGGATACAAAAATGTAGACACTAAGCTGACCTAACACAATATTTATTAAGCATGTTACTTACTGACCCAAAAGTTATATCATAAAGTGTTTCTAAAAGACATCATTCTTATCCTTTCTTGAATTGCTTCTACTCATCTGAAAGATGCCACATCTTTAATTACTGGTTGATTTAGTGCCGTCACATTGGAATTTATTCCAATGTGAATTAAATGTCTTAAATTGAGAAGCCAAATCACAAATTTCCACCAAATCATTTATAAGAAAGTAAAATGGCCTTCTCCACCCAATTCTACACAATGTGCCTGAAAAATATCCCAACAAAGCCAGAAACACACTGAAAAGTTTCCATAAGAATTGTGGAATGATACGGCACCTTCAAAGAATTGAAGACAGTAGCTGCTGTCTATTAAGTGTCTGTACATTTGTTTTAGTAGCACCATCTACCACTGTGTTTCTGGCCCATGTTCAGGGACATGGTTTCTTCCACTCTTCATAGTAACTCAATGAGATGGGTACAACACCCGTGTATAGATGAGGAAACTGAGTCATGGACAAATTAAATGACTTGCCACAGAATACTCAGCATGAAGTGCCAGGGTGGGAATTCAAATCAGGGTGGGAATTCAAATCCAGGCTGTCCCACACCAAGTCTGGAACAGAGTGCACTTATTCACTCATTCAACAAACCCCTATGGGTGCCTCCTGGAAGTGAGTGCTTCCCATGTAAGCCCAAAGATTCATAGCACTATGCAATGTAGGTGTCTCTTTTAGCATTCCCAAGTTCCCAATGAGGCTGCTGACCTGGGGAGGCAAGGCCCATCAGGCCTGTGAGGAGACTTCACTTTGCATCAGTGAAGCCCCACATAGCTACAGGTGGCTCTGTCCAGGTGGCCAACACACCTGCTTCCTCAGCTCACTGCCAGTAAACATCATGGTCATGGCCAAAGGTGGGTTCATGTCATTCTACAACTGTCCAAGCCCACAGAATATGCATCAGCAAGAGTAAAGATTAAGGTAAGCCCAAGAATCTAGGTGACAATGATGTGGGTTTCTGAACTGGAACAAATGTGCCTCTCTGGTGGCCAGTGATGGTGACAGAGGCTGAGGCTGTGCAGGGACGGGGGCATTCAGAATATCTTTGTCCTTCCTCTCAATTTTGAGCTTAAAAATGCTCTAAAAAGTTATCAAGTAAAAAACAAGAAAAGAAAGAAGTGTGCTTTGTCACTCTGCACTGGGGCAGCTAAGGGCAGATGGCCAGAGCTCGGGGCAAACAGACCCAGCACCTCCTTTCCAACCTGCCTCTCTCCAAGCTCAGCGCAGCATGGCCTTCAAGGGACTTTGGGGTCTTTACAGAGAAGGTGTCTGATGGTCACAGATCAGAAGTCCTGTTTGCAACCTCCACTGGAGGAGGCCATGGGGGAAGACTCAGATTTAGGGTGGCCCACCTCTCCCTCTCTGTCCCTGTGCTGTCCCTACTTATCTCCATGTCACCCCTGCCCCCTCAGAGGCTGCCAGCTGCTTGCTGCCTGAGCACCTTTGTGCTGCTCTTCCCACTTCTTGGCCCAGCAGCTCCTGTCCATCAATAAGCTCTCAGCTCCCACTACACCTCCTCTGAGAAGCCCATTCTGACTACCACCCAGGAACACCCTGACCCTCTCTCCCCTCTGAATTCTGAATTCAACCTATTTCTTCATCAGTTTGCTTGTTCTTTCTCGGGCCCTCCTTCTGGACCATGGACTCCAGGAGGGTAGGGGCCTTCCTTGAGCTCACTGTGGTCTCCCCAGCTCCCCCAGGACTGGAGAGGAGGGCTTGGAAGCTGTGGAAAAGGCACAGGGTGAGGATATAATGAGAAGTGTGCAGGCTGCCACCTGGGGGAGGGCCCGCACCAGACCCTGCCATCCTGGCCCCCTGATCTTGGCCTGTCAGCCTCCAGATCTGTGAGAAATCAGTTTCTGTTGTTTCAAAGCCACACTTGATGGGTCTTAGGTACACCTGCCTTCACTGATTCAGACCTGGGCAACGTGGGCCAGATTTGGGTAATGCATTCTGGACACTTGGAGGTACCCAGGCAAGCTGGGGATGCTGTCTCCATGCAGCAAGTAGGTGTCTGTGTGCACAATATCATGGTCTGCTCACCTGATCCAGTGGACACCTGGCAAACCGTAAGCCTGCAGGCAGCACTTAGGACCAAAGACAGGCACAGGGGCAAACTCAGCCACCTCTACTGCAAGAGGCTATGCTCCAAACGTAGCTGATCTCACCCCTTCAGTGGGCACATCTGTGGCTTGCCTGCTTGGCTTTCACCTCCTTGCCTCATCATTTAACCTTGAATATTTTTGGTGACAGTTTCTTTCTCTTATATGGTGACTCAGCCCCTCGAGGCTTGATCACTGAGATCAATCCATTCCACCATGATGGGCACAAAGAAGCAGTGACGCAGGCTGGACCAGCCACACCAATCCCATTACTTTCATTATCATCATTAGGCATGGGACACTGTCTTTTCCTTCAATGCCAAACTAGCAGATTGTGCCCCGAAAGCTGCTTGGCAATATGCCACCACCCCACTGAGAGAGGGTGAGCAGGAGAAAGCAGTGCAGGG